TTCATACCGTCAACGAATAGTTGCAGTTCGGAAATTAAAAGTTCTAAGTTAGAACGGTACGTTCCATCTTCCAAATTAGGAAGTAATTCGTGAGCGATTTGAAGGAACCTCTCAGCATCTGTCTTTTTAGGAAACAAAACAAAAACACCATACATGTAAGAAATATTCCCAATCTGTAAAAATAATGTTATTTCCTGGGCGAATTGTTCAAATAATGTTTGTTTGTTATTTACTTAAATATTTTATAATTATTCATATTGGTCTCTCTCTTAAAACGAGTTTAAAGCTTTATAATGAAAAATTCTTTTTTATCATTTTGTCTAACTTCCTGTTTAGTTTGCACATGTATCCAATAGAGAATAATTAATTAATAACATATTTACTTTACTTTACAAAATATGAATTTTCTAACAACGCCTTGACTGTTTCTACACAACATGAAATGCAGAAATGAAACAACCGACATAGTATTAATCAGACAATATAATAAGAGACTTTTGGAATGCAAATATATTTTATATCGAAAATTTATGAAAACATAAAACACTTCTAAACATACCAGTTATCACAACATTGTTTAAAAGAATTTGATTCTTAAATTGTCTTATTGAAACTAAATGTTCCTGAACAAATACACGAAAATTAGGTTATTGAGATACACAAGGTCCTATTTGATTAATAATCTCTGACGATGTTTTCTGATTTGCAAACGTAAGATTCAATAAAATGTCGAAGCTACATTCGTAAATCTAAGCTGTAATAAAATAAATTCAATCAAAGAAATCCAATACAAGTAAATACTCAGTAACACACATGTTACTTGACATGATAAATTGAGAGGATTTTGAGCTTTTTCGAAAATATGACTCTCGTAGCTTCTTAGATATATCCTGGAATATCCTTCCAACTTTGCATAAAAAGTTCCAATTACCATCATTTTCTGATAATTACTTAAACGGTCATACAAAATATAGGGTGGCTTTCTCCTACAATAAAATTACTCTTATATTAAAATAATAGAGGTGACTCCATTCCCACAATCGGCTGGAAACAGCGAAAAGCAGTAGGAGTTGAGACGTTGTGAGTCAAAGTAATCAACTCTTAAAGCCTAATTTCATCTTCCATAGCGGCTACCTAGTTTGACATTTACGTTTGCATCATGTCCTATAGAAGGAATATTCCTAAAGATTGGGTCCGATGACCATAAAAGTTTTCGGTTATTAGAACCTCTGGCAATGTACAAAGTTTTCCTTTTTAAGGCTAGAATCTCATAATTCACAGTTTTGGTTTTACACTAACTTCCCTCATTCTTAAAAAAGTTCTGATTTGGTCGCTTATACATAATTGATGTAATCTATAGTATTAGGACTGTTTATTAACTTATGTATGTAGAGGTATATATTCTTAACTTTTTAAAACCAAATCACTTTAAACAAGTTTACCTTTCGTTTTTTGAAGACCTCTAGAGAGTATGAATCTAAACGATCATCAAACGTGTGGTTTCCTACTTCAGAGGCCAATTCTGGACTTTGTTGCAACCTCCATGTCCAAAATTCGGAAAACAGTGTCTCAACATTTTCCTTTTCTGTATTTTTCGTAGATTTCTCAGGTAAGAATTCACCATGAAGACACCTAGTCTGTAAAATTAAAAACAGAAAGAACAGGAGCAAGTCTGAAAAGTAATAGTTTACAGAAAAAAAATGGATATCTCCGAGTTGAAAAATAAATAAAATAAGACTTTTGTTAACTCAATCAGAATGAATGTCATTTGGATATAACGTTGGTCAAAACCAAATCATAGAAATGATATTTATAGAAAATCTTACGAGTAATACTTTTCATTCATTATTTTCAGTATGCAAAGTGAGCTAAACGTTACTTTCAAGTGGATTGCTGCACTGTGATGACTTAATATTGGGATCATCTAACCTCGACTGGGTTTGAGGCAGTAAAAGAGTCTGGACACAGCATACAACACAGTGAAGCAATGTTAATTTCAAATAAAAAAACAATCAAGGGGAAAATCAAGTGTATTTTGTTGCACTTTTTCTAGAGAGCCGTCAGACAACAAATCTATAGAATCTAAATATGATAGTTGTATATTCTATTTCAATCTGTTCCAGACTGAGAAAATATGGTATTACATACGAAAAGCAGCAATGCTATTCGTATCAATATATAGCTGCTGTCCACGAGACTGCAAGATAATGGATGTTGTATTCTTCAGGTATCACCTGATGTGGCAGAGAAAAATATCACTGTCTATTTCTACTCTTTCCCACCAGAAAGTTCATGTGACGCCCTAGTTGAATGGTACAGTTCAGTAGGTAACTAAAGCAAAATGAATTAATGGTTCACTTGACTTACATACTATAAGCATAATGGAAGCAGAATTTTTTAAAATGTTTACATTAAGTAAGGAAGTAAGAAACATATCCCTAAATTCAAAATTCAAAAATGAATTAAAATAGCTGTTGTGTGAGGCAAGAAATTGATGTAGCTCTTGCACAACAATACAAATAAGTATAACTATTACATGTTTTCATGGATAGTAGTAGGATACAAGCAATAGCAAGTGTAGTTTGAAACAGAAAATTTACCAAACACAATGCTACGTTAGCAAAATTGACTGTGTTTCTTTTTTGCTTTTCTGGCTAGTCAGGTCGACAAGAGAGTGAAAAAGCATCTACAAAATTCAATAATAGACAACAAAATCAAGAATAGGAACTTAAATACTCTAGCAAAACATAGAAAGTCATCATCCCACAAGACCACAGGCTGCACGCTTCAACTAATGTTCTACACGCAATCGTAAGCCAAGTCACATTTATGGATTTCTGTGTTTCGTATTTGAATAGGATAACTTCCAAGAAGTTCATACAGACACACGCTAGCTCAAGGCTCAAGGACAAAAATTGCAGCATGTAACCTTTACCTGCGTAAAAGGATCTGCACATGTTTACGATCTTGAAAAATCTGGACCGATCTGATGTGATTAAGAAATGATAAAGATTTTTAGAAAAATATTACATGAATAAACGTCTGCTTTTCGTAGATAGGCCTACTTAAAAATTATCGTCAGCTTTTTGTCGAAGTTCACACAGGCAGGTTCAATTGCTTTAGAACACCCTTTCACGAGACAAATTATTCTACTAAAATGTCAGAAAACTGTTAATCTCACTTTAACATATCAACCGTTAGGCTATTCCCTCCTACGGCGTTAACTTTACGTTTTCTAACCTTTCTCTGACCGAAACTCTCTTTTATTCTGTTTTACTTTTGGCTCTCTTCCTGCTCTCTATTCTCTCGTCTGCTCTGTCTGTCTGCTGTTCTCGCTCGTCTCACGCTATTTATATATTTAACATTTAATCGTCTGCTTGTCTTCTAGAAATCTCTATATCTTTGACATCACTAGATTTCACGCGACGTTCGATAGCCTGAACATCAATGAATTATAAACACAACTTACGATTCTTACCCAAATTCGATGACGAGGAACCCACTTTGAGACTAATAATGATTGGAGACGGCTTGCATGGGTAATGAAGAAAAACTTTAATATAAATTTAACATAACAGCAAATGTACAACGTTTCGACAAGGTTTTGTCATCATTGATCATTTGTCATAATGTTTACTTTAAAATAATTGCTTTTAATTCTCTTGTTGTGATAAAAACTAAACAATCATGAAATATTCACTTACAAAATAAATAAATTAATAATACCTATACTAAACAGTCTTTTAAATCATGACACCATTGTGTACCTTTGTCCTTAACAATGAACAAAGAAACTCAACCATTATGTATGTTGTGTCATTGAAGAACCTTGGAAGCAGGCAAAAAGGCCTCTTCGGCACTGGATAAAGTAAAGATAGTGTGGTTGATATATTATTATAAACTCTTCTTTGCTTTCACCCAAAAGTTCTTATTAATAATTACTCTAACATCCCAATTTCTCATTAGAATTACTTCGGAACGGAAACTCACTTTACAAGTATAAAATTTAAGCGATTAAGAAATATAATATATTTCTAAAATAATTAACAAACAACTAAATGTCTATAACGACAAGATCGGGTGTAGGTTTTAGAAGTTTTGCATTTTATGCACAAAAACTTTTTTGATGTTCAATTGGGGGAAGTGAACGCTAAACTTGGTTCTACATGCTCATTATCAAAAGCTATTTTATTTTGATAATTTAATAACGTTTTAAATTTTGATTTTAGTAAAGAGTTGTTATTTTAGAAATTAAAGTAAAACTAAGTTGTAAAACCAAAACTACTCAACTTTATTTATCACACTTTCTTAAACATTGGAAAGCTAGAAAGTTGCCCCTCAATGGTAAGTCTGAAGGCTAACGATGCTAATATTAGGTTGGCATAGCATAGACAGCTAACTTTGCAGCTTTATGCTTAACACTAATTAAGCCAATCAACTACAGTGTTATAATATTTTCTTGTAAAAACAATAACCTATTTAGAAGTACAGTTTTTCTTTTGTTGTTGTTGTTGCTTAAGAATGGTGCGAGTTTAAATAACCAGATCCGAAATGCGAATCAAAACAACTAATATATTCATTTGTGGCGTAAGTACATGGTCAACTTAATAAAGGAATGCACAAATACACAGAACTCGTAAAACAAATATGCATAAGTACAAGAAACAAACGAGTTTAGTCATTATAATTTTACACGTGATGTATATTTTATACGTTTTTTACTATCATACTTTCTACAAAATGTATTCATAACAAGTTTTCTGTGATGTATGTTCATACATTATTTTAAGGAATACCAGAATATTGGTAACAACGTTGCTTATTATAATATCCACTTGATTATCTCGGCTACATGAAATATCACAGAGTCAACAAATAGAAATCGTGGTGAAACTTAAAAATAAACTTGCTTGGTAATTACCAGAGATGTAGCAAGAATGAATATCCAACATGAGGCAGGAAAATATGTCTTCATATCGGAAACAATCAACACCAACTTGTTAAATGAATGAATTCAAGCACGTTTCAGTTGACTGTTCAACCCGTACTTTAACGTTCAACCAATGGCAGATATACGTAAAAGGCTGTTTCATAATTACACCGTTTTGGACTAGTCACCATAACTAGCTTGACCATTATTTGTTGACATACTTCGGAATGTTACTGTAGCTATCGCGCACGCACTTTGGTCTCCTGAGAGAACAGCAAGGAAACAAACAAGAAAAAGTAACATTCAGGAAATTGTGATTTTTTTTTTGTCAAGTAAACAGTTTAATGTTTGATAATGATGAATCTCATTACAATCATTAATTTCTCATCTAAAATAGTTGCATTCATTTATTTAGAATATATACCCTTTAATTCATTTATAGCCATCAGCAAGGGTATGCTTCTCTCGACTATTGCCTGGAAGTTTTGCAACAGTATCCGGTCATGTGACCTCTTTGTTCAAT